GCGTTTTGTGCTGTGTAACAGTATTACAAAACTCATATTGTCACGGGGTTTCTCATGTTTTTCCCAAGTGTCTTCGTCTTTCACAGAGAGTTTTATAAACAAAGAATTTTTATATTTGATAATTAATTGCAATAATGTCGAAAGAGATAAGTGTTTAGTCTAAGTGTCGTGGAAAAAGGCATTTTTGGACGCATGTTGTATTTCGTCCACCAAAAGACCAAATTACAAGTAACATACCGTCAGAGTTCGTGTAATGGCAGTTGATCCAAGTAAACACCCAGCGTTGCTTGTGTAATGCTCGAATATTGCGTACTTCACATCGGTGCCTCTCCATCTATATAAGTAACGACCGTTCCCGGTTGCAGTACTTGAGCATTTACTGTGTGTTACCTGTTTTGGTGGGCCATCGTCGCACTCAGTCCGAGTGACGCCCGAAGTTTCTCAAGTCATATAGCCTGATCGGTCGTGTAACGAAAGAGGAACGTGGGGGCGGGGCTATAGCCTCGCATTGCGCGATAACAACCGCCCCATCGTGCGATAGGACGGTTGTTTCATTTCTGTTCTGTAACGTGCGATGGGACGGTTGTTTCATCTCTTTGCTGTAACATACGATGTGATATGCGGCGGCTTACGGTGGGACGGCTGTTTCATCTCTTTTACTGTAATCTACGGTGTGATTGACGGCGGCGGCTGCTATATGCTTCAGTATAAAAATGCAAAAATAATCAGCAAAATTGCAGCCGCCGAGAAAATGATGCATTCAACACCATCAACCAGTTATTCACCGACTGCTGCGGATTACGTCTATCGGCGTGTGCTACGACAAGCCGTAGCTGCAATGTGTAAACAGGCTGGATTTGAAGCGATTGAAGCGGATGTGCTGGAGTTGCTTACGCATATGGTCAATTCGTATCTCAATGAACTGGCCATTACAACACGTCTGATGACCGAACATGCCGGACGTTGCATCTCAACACCAACGGATACGCTGATTGCACTGGTCGATCTTGGCAGTGCTGTTTCGGATTTACCGGCATTTCTGAAAGAAACCACTTCAAAGGGTTCGCTGGTTATTGCACCACCACGCGTACAACAAGCACCACATACACAGTCACAGC